AGGGAATCCGCCAAAGCCAATCGATGAGTTACGCTAGTGCAGCAAACTAAGTGTATTCTATTAAATTATTGCATTTTGTGTGTAAGAACAGTACAAACCATGTCTTGCATTATGGTCTAGTAGAGAAAATGTATAGGGCTCAAATTATGCGCATTCTCAAAAAAATAAAGCAGATATTTCACAAATAGGTAACCACTTTGTTGCATCATCGACCTTTAACATGATACGTTCACGGCGCCTTGTAATTTATATATAACCCAGATGGAATGAGGGTCATTTTATTTGGGGAAGTTGACTGGAAATTGGAGCTTCGAAAAAAAGCCTAGTATCACCTAAATTTGTTTTATACAATAGAAGCATTCAGCGGCTAAGATAAATGTGATATAACTGGCTTCTTAGAAGAAATATCCTTTGATTACTTTGGACTGGCATCGGATTCACAATTATGTTTCTGCAAGGTAGACCGCTGGTTCATTCTCTCTGCTTTTACTTAGGAGCATAATTTTACTTCAATTCGGTAATCTCTACATGTATCCAGTCATGCAACTTGGTGATGCTTCAACACTTTACATTCCATCTCATTTGATGCAAAGTGAGAAGTAGGTGCTGGCATAAGTATCTTCTTTCCAGTCAATTACTTGCCCTAGCATCCATCCTACTCAATTTTCTTGTCAGTAAACTATACGTAAGGCATCGGAAGAGAGGATAAACAAGTAGCGGATTAAGTGGTTCATAACGTACTAAATGAGGGAAGCGACAAAATTCCGAACATTTTGGGTGAAATCCTGTTCACTTATTGGGAGCCTTTTTATATCAGTAATCTGACTCAAACACTGGAACTTTTAATTGCGGAATGCATAGATGGGATTATGACATTTATTAAATTGGGCTTGTGTATGGTTGAATGTGCCAACTAAACTTAACTGTGTAAGGGAATCATGGTGCTTGACAGAGAGTGCTTAGTTTCGAGTTGAAGATAAAGCAAATGCTCATGTTTAGGTTATATGATCATGCCTCAGTATAAAATATTTTACAGCGAATGCAAATGCATGGAGAGAAGTCTATACTCAAGTGAGATACAGTGTGCATTAAACAAAGCCTGAACCCAAGTTTCACAAACTTTATTGACAGATCGCCTCAAAGCCCGCATTGATAAAACTATTATTGGCATCAGTGACTTTAGAAATATGAGTAGTGACTATGGCGTGTTTGCCCATCACTAAAGGCAACAAAGGCAATAGAAAGACACAAATCCTTGATTTTTCTTTATGTTCACTTAATCCAGTAGTAGGGTGATTTATAGGCTCTCCAGAATGCAGAGTCTATCTTCGGCAAGCCCTCCCTCCACAACTTAAGAAGTATCTTAAATCATCTCTAAGGAGTACAAAATGTTGAGTTTGAGAGAGGTCAACAGATAATTAAATGCCTTACAATTGGTTTATTTTTGCACCAGAAAGCACCCTCGAATACGAATACTAAGCCATTAGATGACAAATTCATTAACTAAACTCTACCATACTAAACCAGTTAGACGCGTGCTACATCGAGGGGACCAGTCAGATGCATTTTAGCAGTGCAGGAATGGTTGAGGTTATGCAATTCTTTACAAGGTATGTGCCTGTCGTATAATCTGTTTGGCTCCATTCCTTATTTTATGCTCCCATTTCTGTCTTCTCTACAGTTTCCTACAACCAATCAACAACCACGCGGCCATCGATGTATGTTATGGTAGTCAACTTAATTGACACGCTAAAGGCTATAAAGGTGTTGTGAAATTCTCATTCTCTCTACCCTCGGTATCCGGTCTCGAGTACTGCCGCGTACCTTCAATGTGTTTGATCTTGCATTCAGGGTGGAGCGTTTATCACGTCGTTATAGTTGAAGCCTTCCAACCCTGGTTAAACACTTACATGGACCTGTTTTTTAAAGTTTGACTCCATAAATAATCTGCCTATGTCGAGGACACAAATATGAGGAAATAAGTAATTTGGATAGTGGTGGCCTCAATGTTGACGTTAATATGTGGTATGGATTTAGTGACAGAAGAGTTGGACTTATTTTACTATGCCGCATGAGCTGCACACAGATGTTCAATGTAGCAATCCCTTCTGAGGTGTTAAATTACTGGGTAAATGGGTGAGAAATCACCGTATTTTAATTAACTAATTCATTGGATCTGTGTTTTAAAGGAAGAGACACACTGAAGTCATCAGTTATCAAGAATACTCACTAACACAGCTACCTCAGTATAAATTTGTATCAAATGACTTTTTTCTCTTAGGCTAAACAATACTCGCTAATGTTGTTTACATCTTAAAGAAGTATGTTGTACTTGGTTGGCGAGTCATTTCGGTTTCCAAGATTCCAGTTAAAACTTCACCAAGCAACGCCCCCTGTTGCTGCTTCGAGATTCTTGCTTGGGAAAAAATGGACTTAAAAAATATGGCTAATTTTATGCATCGAATTATACCTCTGGGTCAGGTAGTAGTTAATCTACTTAGCAAAGTACAAAATGACGTGCATTTGAGCAGTTGCAGATACACGGCTTTGGGTAGTGCTGCACGTTTTTTAGACTTTCTTAGTATTGTGACTAGTTTTATGCCTAGAGGCACCATAGGGAAAGAAGAGTGTCACAAATGAATGCATGCTGAATGCAAAGTAGGGATTTGGACCAAATGTGTTCTTGAAAGTAGTCCTACGTAAGGGAATTAATGAAAGTTCATAGGTGGTGACAATCAGTGGTGGATGGCTGCTAAAGTGACCGAATTGCCCACCTATTAAAGCTAAGCTAGGGAATTTGGGCAGTTCTTGCTTGAGGACTGGCAATGCTTGCTGTATTTTTCTCCGCATACTTCCGATATCTCAGTGCAGAGGCAGTGGTCTGTCCTGCTTAAATTCTATAGTGGGACACGCCATGCTTTGCGGTGACTAACTTTCTACCGACGTTGCCGATCTGCTTCTCCAAAGGAAAGATAGGTGTAAAGTCAATCACAGCGAAACGCATATTTTATGGCCTGGTGTTCTCACCTGTATGTCGTGCTTACACGTCCAAGGGAGACACGGTTGTGTGTTGAAGATTTTATCGTTCCCGAGACCTCATTTATTGCCCAAATGAGACCTTAGTGATTTTTGATGATCGCGAGACTCCAATTCAGAAAATAAAAGGACTTAGTTTTCCCTTTCAATAAACCTAATTAACTTTAAACTTGACATTTTTCATGCATAAAACAATTCGAACACCCTTCGATGTAACTCACAGCATCGTGTTGTGAAATTCATGCCGTTGTTTACTTGCTCGTCTCACAGTGCATGGGCATGCGCCGGTCTGCTTTAAAGACTGCACTGAAATCAATTTCAAACCTGCAGGAAGTGTTGTGTAGCGCATTACTGGAAGGAGGTGCGCTACGTAGTTCAAAGCATGCTAGAAGAGTAATTCTAGTAGCCAAATACATAAAAGTGGACCACGCCAGGGAGTAAGGATACTTTGTTTTTTGGGAAAAGGAATGAGTTGCGTGTCGAGGTGTCAAGGCCTACTTTCAGCTATGTTGAACATGAGCGGCAGTGAGTCAGTTCAATTGCAACTACATCTACTTGAAAGGGGAAGTCGAAGAAGCTACTGACTGGATGAATGACACAAGATCTGGCAACAGGAAACTCTGTTGTGTACTTGAGACCTCTTGCTGAGAAATGGAGTTAGTACTTTATTCCACCTTTTCTTGGGCTAACAAATACTTCCTTGGTCGTCCTCATTCAAGCGACCCATCCACCACTCAGAGGGAGAGAGACAGAGGTATTGTCTCACACCTCAAGCTCTCCTCATTGGGAGCTTCACATGTGATGGTTTTCACGCAGTCTTGGCATTGACAGTAGGCAGTCACATGCAAGATGGAATAGGCAGTTGAGGAATGAATATAATGTGGAATAAAAAAGAGGTGGCTAGGATAGAATGTTTGTTTGTAGAGGTAAAATATTTGCACAGATGGGAATTTTGACCTTGTGCCTCGTTGGAAAAGAGTTAGTACTATTGAGTACAACAGCGTTTATTTCAGTGAGGAGAGTTTTATAGAATTCTTATCATTGTAGAACATTTCATGTTTGAGCACACCTCGAAAATGGGTCAGTTTATACCTGATGACATGGTAAGGATTTTGAAAGGTATTAGTGGTGATGGTAGTGACGTCTGGGGAAGTAGTACATTTCATGATTGCGGATCATTGGTAATTGTTGAGTTTTCTCCTACGTCGAGACATTCTTTACTGGCATTTGGGATAGTAGCTGGACCTGTAGGCGTCTTTGATACAATGTGCATGCGAGTGAAGTATTTGTGGACCTATTCGGATCGCACTACCAGGGTGAGTTGATCTTCCGTTTTTCAGTTTGCGCTTGAAGCAGCAAAAAGCTATTTGAGTTTGGAGAGAAGGCTGTCAAAGATGTATTCATGC